ACGACCCTCCCGCTTAAATACTAGCCTATGACGTCACTCGTATCAACCAGCTCTGCAAACAAGTGATATCAGCTGATGACATCATAGTATCACTCAAAACGTCACAAACATCTCTGATATTTACATTTCTCTCCCTGTCACAGAATGACGAGGATGTGGTATGGAAGTTTGCACGTGCCAAATTATGGATATCTTTCTTCGGGAGGGGGAGTACTCTGCCTATTCCCCTCAATACAATACCAAGTCCCAAATCGATCTATTATGCATTTTGCTATTGCACAAAGTTTCTATGCAAACAGAAAGAAGAGAAAGAATTTCAGCATGTCAATCTGTCGGACAGGGTGAGTATATCGCCCTCTCGAGCTGATGTGGTAGATTCAGCTAAAAATTTATTTTCTTTGTTTCAATTTGTTATGAAGTTTTTTAAATGGTTTCCATGGCGACGACTATATTCTATTTTGTTTCTAGCGGAATGGTATATATAATATCATGAATTCAGGAGATTTCAAGCAAGACGACACTTGTCATTCTGTAAGTTGTGGAATTTCATTCATTTGTAATCGGTTCACACTTACCTAGTTTATCGCGAACGTTTTTATATAGAGTCTCCATTTTTCCGGTCATGCATGGTCTGGCTAAGAATGATATGTCTTTCCTCAAAATTAGTTTTTAATTCACGTAGACCGATTGTTACACTGAGGTCATCACTTTGTCGAACCGAGAAGTCAAGTGATAGGTGCCAAATCGAATAGATTGTACTGAGATTTGCAACCTCTTAATTTCAGTACAGCTTCCTGTGAAATTAGAACTTAGAAATTAGAACTGCAAGATGAATTATGGGTACTATGAAAAGTGCATTTTCTACCCATAATTCACTTCTATCGGCGAAGTACTTCCGTGACGTATAAGGATAAAAAGAAGACAATTTAGATCTGTAGTCGTCGGTCAATAAAATAATGAATGATTTGCTATACTCTAAAGGACGTTCGTCCACCTACGCCATTTTACGTCACAGAACGCAACGTCGTTAGAGGGCGCGACCTGGTTTTTCATTATCCTTGCCCAGGTTAAAGGGTATTTACAGGGGCCAACTCGTTTTTGGTTGTCATACTACTAGAATCGATCTCCAGTCCTTATCCTGCCTCGCCTACTGGCTGTCCAGTCCTTGAGTATGCTGCCTTTAATGGTATGCCATTGACACATAGCAAGATACAGCTCGCCGGGCGCCCGAACTTGGAAGTTTCGGAAGAAGTCCGAAAACGGGGACTTATAGTTCCACCTCCATGCGTCTGTCCGTTAAAACTTCACACACACATCGTAATTCTGGGGATACATATACACATATATTGTATGGTGGCCGAATGGTGGCCATTGTGGTGCTAAACATTCATCACACTCAATCGTTTCTGCCATTCCGGAAACCGTAAAGGATCTCAGTCGTGCATGTTACGCTCAATCTTCGTACATACGATGGACATACTGATTTTATATAATTAATGTTCTTCCGGACATATTTCATACATGTGTTGACCAATCATGATGAAACTTTACACATCCGTCATACATCGTGCCATACATATCTCATACTACCACTATAGAACGGCTTTTCTTTTGGTTAAATGCGTGCCACGTTTGTTTTGGGACTTAAACTTCTTAATCCAATAATTTAAAACAACCGATCCAACTAACACGACTATAACGTAATAACGCGATATCTATTATTATTTCATCAAATACCGCGAGATAGTACGAGATGTGCACAAGGAGTAGTGTTAGTTGGGACGTAGTTCATTTTTTTTCTTGTTTAATACTCTCCATAAATGCGTAAAAAAAACTTATGCAAGTTATTTCTGTGTTTGATCACTTTATTTTGTAATTACGAACCAACCGAGAATAGAGATAGCTAAAATTTATGCTTCATTAAAATATCACCCTTCTACTGAGTATTCAATGACTTCAATCGCTTAGTTACGTGAGCATATCAATTTTCAAACGGATTGTCCACACAGATTACGAAGCGTCCACACAAAGAATCACTGTCGACGCCAAAACCGACATTTGACATTCATAGAAAAATGTTCACATTCTCTGGGAAAATTCAAAATAAGGAGAAATACAACTATAAAGTTGCTCATTATAAATTCATAATTATCGTAAACAAAAGTATGAGTTATTAGAAATAGGCTGATTTAAACAGAAACAATAACGATCGACTGGTCAAAACACACATATTGCATTTCTGGTTAAACCGAAAATTATGCGCCTGTGTGTTTGGCACTAGAATAACATTACGAAAACACACGAAGCAGGTAAATGCGAGTGTGTTCGGGAATTTTCTGGTTAACGTGTGTCAATAAACTACCAGCATGGTCTGCCGAAGCACGCATCATGCAGGCCGCGTACTTCCCGATTCAATCTACAGCAACAGGCGTTTCTAGTCTGTTTTATAGAAGTCTGAGTACATATGCACACATTTTGGAATTAGTACATACATTGGTGCATGTCATTTTGCATTGTTTTTAGATCGAATTCAAAATGGCCGACTGGTGGCTATTTTGTTTTAACGAATGTTATTGCAGAGACATGCATTGGTTATCATGAGACATTTATACACATGCATTTCCACGTGACGTTAACATTGGGAACGGACGGGGACTGTGTCATGCCATGACTTGTTTTAGCTCAATAAAAAATAAGTATATTCCATGGATATTTCCAATGACAAAAGTACAAATACACCACACTCTGATCGATTGCATGGTGATTTTGACAAGACCTTTTTTTTCTTGCACGTCTCTTGGGTCGTCTTTCCTCTATCCAATATTTGTTTTCTATACCTCCTTACTTTTCCCGTTGTCATGTAATTGTGGTTACTAAGATAATATCAACCATTATACTGATTATACAGTATAACTTCCAGGCAATTATGCGAAGATTGGTCAAGAGATATATATTCAAACTTCAACGGGATAAAGAGAATGATGACATCAGCGAAGGTATGTGTTTTTGTTATGACTCTTCAGTTTACTTTTTTTTAACGTCAGGGGATAGTTCTGAAAACTGTCCTTTTCATTTTCTACATCTGGCCCAGCGTATGTGAACATTTCTCTATAAAGATAAAATGGCGGTGTTGGCGTCGACAGTAAACCTTTGTGTGGACGCTTCGTAGTTTGTGTTGACAATCCGTTTGAAAATTGATAAGTTTGTATTCGCCATTATTTTGATGTAACAGTCAATAACAATTTTATATTTTCATGTATTTCATAAATGACTTATATTTAATGTTCATTTATATTATTCTGTCTAAGATGTCCTTAAATGCAGACACATCTCTTATTAATTATGTAAATCACATTCTCGACTTTTTTTAGTGTATTCGACTGAGTACATAGAATTCCTTTTTTACTGCATTATAACATTACTGTATACTCATTCAAAAGAAAAAAAACGTCAATCAAAAAGTACCTAAAATTATGTTTTCAGTCTTCATTCATTTATTTTTATTTCAATATAATTTTTTATTTATTTTATTTATTTGTTTATAGGGGAGCTCGAAGAACTCAAGCAAGACATTTCAAGCCTTCGATTCGAACTCATGGAGGTACTAACACATAATCGTCGGTCCAACAAGAATATTACAGAGTTAGGAAATCACGTCGACGATTCGGACACATCAAGAGAACTTGTTGACTTGCGACGGCAGATTGAAGCGCTGCGAAGAGAACTGTCATTCGCACTGAGGGTGTCTCATGGCGACGTGCATATGGTTTAAACATGCGTCATGTAAAGCAATGTTGACGTCACTGGAACGTGACATGATTTAATGAAATTTACAGCCTGATATTTTTTTTTATGATCAATGGTATTTCTCTCCCATAATGCATTGCTCCGTAGAATGCTCAGTGGTGCATAATTGGAATTCGAGATCGAGATCCTATAGTGCAAGGGTTGATCGTTGGTCTGTTTGAGTTATACTTAAAACGGGGGAGTCGTCACCTGCGCATGCGTCAGATGTCATAACGTGTCACAATCTCCTTCCCATAGGCCTTTGCGGAGTTCGAACGTGTCATTTTTTACAAACAAGCGTCTACCCACGAGCCTTTGAGTTTTTAGCGCGTGTTGTTATCGTCGCTTTGGTCTCAATTCCCGCGCGTGCGCAGGTGACGACCCTCCCGCTTTAATTCATACTTGAAGTGAAAGGCTTGTTGATCTCTGTGCTGAAGTACTGGACTTGTTCTTGGCTATGTGTTATAATATCGCACGACGTATTTATAGGAACAGTTTCAACAAGTCACCGCTCTTATAGCCGTGCTCAGTTGGCACACAAGCATTCAATAGTATACTGTAAATGCATTAATTATCCACTGGGTTTTAATTTTACTATTTTCGCTGATAAGTACAAATCTGCTAAATAATATCTACATGAACATGTAAATTAAAAATGAGAATAAAACTCATTGTTTCCTTGAGAAATTCGTGAAATTAAAACACAGTGAATATGCTCAAAGTATCAAAATGGTGAAATTAAATGTCAGCGAAAATAAATGGTTTTACAGTACAATATAAACGATTGTAGTAGGTAATCATATATAGTCGTTGATTATTTTTTAAGACGTTTCAGATAACGGTTCTTCTGAGTGTAATATTTGAATTCTGAAATTACACTGAAGGAGGGCGTTGAATAATTGCCAGAAACTACGATTACCTACTATTATTTTCTTTATATATTATTATTATCGTATCGTTCCTACCGGCTTTCTCAATTGTATACAACTTTCTTTCACTTTTGAACACCTTATTGTACGTGTCACTTATGGTAATTCCATGACGACTCTAAAATGCATAGTATCATTTTTTTTATATAACCTGTATTTGTGATCATTAGTTTATATTATGTTTAGATATAAGTACTGTAAACCTTAACGTCATCGTACGAATGCAGTCAGGCAGTGACGTAATCATTGTCGATAGGGGGCGCAAAACATTACGTTGATAGTCAGAATCTATATTCGTTCTGAAGTGTACTACTAGTATTAGTTTCGGAATTATAATTATAATTAATAATTATAGTGATTTTCAATTCCTGAAATTCAATTACTCTGAAATGCTCTAAAATAATACCCGCCGTGATAAATACAGCAATATATGAACAGTAAATAAAACGCAAACTCGTTATATGAATATTCACCGGATTTTAATTTCGTTTTTTTCGATGATGAGTAAAATCCGCTAAATTAAATTTACGTGAACTTGTGAAATAACAACATAACTCATTGTTTCACTGGCAAATTTGTGAACTTAAAACTAAGTGCATACTAAAATAAATGGCTTTACTGTATATCTGATGATTTATATTTTAGTTCACGCGTTACTGTAAAAGTCATCACGCGCGCGTGCGTTCGAATTCTATTCAAACAAACAACACTGTGCGCATGCGCTGTGACGCTTAACCTTTTCGCCAACAGTTTCCTCTTTTATTCACAAATTCACAAAATAGTCCCGTTTTTAGTCTGCAATTCCCTTCTGAAGATTAGGACAAAAACAGCCAAGTTGTTTGAATAAAAACTAAAAATTGTGCCTGTTGGCTTAAAAATTATGGTTCATTTACAGAAATACTGAAGAATGTAAGAAAAAAGTGCAGAAAAAGATGAGCGAGAAAGTCTGTTGGGGAAAAGGGTTAAAAGTACATAATACACTACAGTTTTTGGAGACTGTGCTGTCATTACGATATTCTTTCTGCGTTGTTAACGTGTGTGGTTTCGCAGTAAATTTACATACGTTGGTAGTCACGCGCGGCAGTTATATCGTGACTGGTTGTTAGGACGCCGCATATTGATATGTTGTTATAGCCATCAACAGTATATTAATTTACAAATAAATATTCCAGAAGACTTTTTGGCTACAATATTTTATAAAATAGAAATCAAGCTACTATCGTAATTTATCTCGTGTTTTTATTGTTGTTAAACACATCATATTTATGTATAAACAGAGGTACATTACTTGGGGTTTGTAACTACGGTGACATGATACCAAGATCCCGTCACAATCTCGCTCTCGTATAAACGTTCCAACTCAGAAAAAATGCGAATGCGCATGCCCGAGGTAACTAGGATACTGGGATGTCCAGGTGGATCAAAATAGCTGCTCACGATATGACGGATTACGATAACTATATTTTCTGTATATTTTCGATGTATTACATTTTTTCACTATGAATGTGGTAATACGTGTTTTATTGTTTTATTACAAACCGCCTATGTCATGTCAGAAGGTAGTAGCATCAGTCTCGCTAACTACGAGATGAGACTTGAATGGGATCTTGACATGATGTCACCATACAGTACTATGTGCGTTATAGTTTTGAAAATCAAACAATCGTTGTTATTGATAAAATTATCAGAAATGTTTTCAAAGAAGTGAAATCCCGAATCCAATTTCGATATTGTTGTTGAAATTTTGGCTAAAATTAATGTTAAAGGGTGGTGGTTACCGCGCAGCGTGTAAATTTCATGTAAACAAAACAATGTATTTTACACGCGTTGTATACGTCACTATGAGTCCCATATTAAACAAGACACGGCAACGACCACCGGCCTTTAATAATAGCAATAGCGTGTATTTATGTTTTGGGATAGTTCGGCGAGAACGAAAATAATGTCAACTAATCAAAATAATTAATATCAGAATATCCGACTTATCATCATCATTATTTATTATCTGGATATCATTTCTTCTCGTGGTAACAATATGATAATATTAAATCAAATATACAGTATCATTTTAACGGTTGCCGCCATGTTTGTCATAGCAACCGGTGCATGTCAACATACAAGAAATGCATATTATCAACTACAGTGTTAGACACACCCATCCTTGAAGGATTCCAAGAGCTTGACAAAGATGTTTGCTTGATCTGTATCTCAAAGCGGAGGGAAATCATCACCTGTGCATGCGATAGACGGACATAGCGTGTCATTGTTTACAAACAAGCGTCTACCCATGAGCCTTTGCGTTTTTAACGTGCGTTGTTATCGTCGCGTAGGACTCAATTCCCGCGCGTGCGCATGTGACAACGACCCCTACCAAACGACCGACAGAGCATTCGATATGTTCATTTCATAAAACTATTTTCAGTGGTATAATATGGTTTGTTAATCACAATTATTTAAGCGTATTCAATGTTGTCTGTGTTTCATGACCAGGTGTAATCACACATTTAATATACTCTGAAATTATTATTTTCAAAAGTTATTTACATTTTTTCTCATTACTGTAATAAAGATGGGAATCGTCTTTTCAAATGCATAAATGCATAGTGTTGTCTTGTTCAGTTTGTGTCGTGACCAGATGTGATCACAGGGAGCCCAGGAACTATAATCAACTGTAATACGCAGTCTCTATGAGCGGGGGGGGGGGTATCGACTGGTATCTAGTGTATGAAATAATAATAATAATAATAACTTTATTGCATCCTTAGATTTACAATGTTTCTATCAGTTAATAGCAATAAAGATTAGTTGTGATAACTACTACTACAAAAAGAAAGTTAGTTGTTAAAAAAAAGATAAAGCAAGTGTTACATATCAAATGGCACTTTTTTTTTGAAATAGACAAGGGATGAAGGCTCCAGCCAGCTCACATTTTTTAAACTCGAAAAAACAGACGAAAAAAATAAAAAATAAAATCTAAAAAAAAGACCATGTTGAAGAATATTAGTTGCTCCTTCGAATTTCACCAAAGCCCTACCTACATTTTACAGATATCTGCAGAATAAATCAAGAAAACTACA